AAGTGATACCCAGCTGCAGACAAAACCCAGTCCCTTCTCAACTCGACCAGTTTTTATATGAAATGCAAACGAGATAATTAGGTTTATTACACACAAAAAATTTACTAAATCGTATTTAATCCGTTTTAATATTAAAAGGTCAGTGAATGCAACAAAAGCTTAGCTACAAATGGCCAAATTTGAGCTTCTTAAATGTAAACAAGTGTTGTTTATTTATTTATTTAGACTGGGATAAAACACTTGTAAATAACTTTAGTTTGTCTTCACAGAGTGGTTCTGACCCTGGCCTGTGACGTCAGCAGAGATCTCAGATTCAGGCTCAGCTTGATCACATGGATCTTTTTCCTCTCTGATAAACTCTAACGTGGCCCGGCTCTGGGATTTGCAGGGTTCTGGTCTGAGTCCGTCTCCTGGTCCATGCGGGTCTGATTCGGTCGGATCGGATCTTTTGCTGTGGTTCGGAACTGTGTTTTTTTGCACCGCTCTGAACTTTTCGAGCATCTCGGGGCTTCAGCTAGCATCGACGAGTTGCAGCGAGTTCTGCTTTTTGATTTAAAACTTTTTCCGCCTCGGATTTTTTATTGTTTTATTTTATTTTTTTGCGCACGGCTCTGTTAAAAAATAACGAACCGTGCTGCCGCCGGTGGTTCCGACCCAAACTCCCGGTTGAGCCTCCTTTTTGCTGCCTTTTTATTCTGGCAGTAGCAGGGCAGCTAACAGGCTAACAGCGAAGTTGAACGTTAGRCTGAGCTACTTTTTGTTTTCCTCGTCATGCCGGCGATGCTGGAAAGGAACCCGGAGGCTCCGGGGAAGAGGAGAGGCCGAGCCCCGACCGGCAGCACCGGCGGCGGGCCCGGGGCGGCCGGTGGCCCCGGCGGGAAGAGCCTGTCCGGTAATGGAACCAGCACCAACAGCTGCTGGGAAGAAGGAAGTTCGGGCTTCAGCAGCGACGAGGAGCATGGTGGGTAGCCTCGATCACAGCTGGACTTCATCTTTCCAGAACCGGTTCTGATGATCCTCTGTGTGTGTGTGTGTTCGGACAGGTGGAGGAGGGATGCGGGTCGGACCGCAGTACCAGGCCGTGGTTCCGGACTTTGACCCGGGTGAGATTTAAAACAGGACTTAGCCTGTTAGCTGAGGGTAGCCTCGAACAACTGGAGAACGGAATAGCTTCAGACCGGTTCGGTTCCATTAATCCTGATRACACCGGTTCTGGTTCTCAGGGTCTGAAACGCGTTTTAGTGAGGAAGTCAGATGTCAGAACAAAATTAATGATTTTGTGTAAAAAAAAAAATCATAACTTTTCTCTTAAAATCCCCAGAACTCCTCTAGCAGGGGTGCCCAAACATTTCCCCTGAAAGGGTCAAAATTAAATTTAATCTGAAGGTGGTGGACCAACTGCAAGAATATAATACACGAAATGCAAATACTTCAAGTAAAGTTGTATTTTTTATGATTAAGCTAGCAGACAGGGCGGTTGGCCACTTTTTTTGTATTTTTTGTTTTCAGCCCATGGACATGGAGAAAATTCAACGTTTGCTCGGGCAGCAAAGGCTCATGGGACTTTTCACACTTTAAAATTTGAGTATATATAGTCTTATAAGGTGTGCAAATTTAGATATGGACTTAAATCTAATAAAAATGTCTCTTGAAGTTACTTGTATTTTAAGTCTAATCTTAACATGATTCAAAGATAAAGCGAGTACCATGAGTTACGACTATCTGACTACAGCTCCCTGTYTGTATACTTGGACCGATGTTTGAAAAGACTAAGTGCAAATATAGTATTTCTACATAAAACAGGAGATTACAATCTAGTAACCAGGATATCTGCCAGTGGGCCAAATCAAATGGCTTGGTGGGCCAAATTTGGCCCACGGGCCCCACTTTGGGCACCTCTACCTTAAAGTGATGTTCATCTTTGTCTGTCTGCAAAATATCTCACGAACCACTGGATGGATTTTATTTAAACTCTCAGAAAGTTGTATTAGATCATCTAATAGATGTTCTGGAGTCAACCTGATTTAAGATGGCCGCCGATCCCATCTGCCATGGAAAACACAAAAATAAATAAAACTAGGCCAAATATTTGCCTGGTTATGAGGGTCATTGAAAACACACTGTAAGTAGGAATGTGGATTAATTTTTTAATCCTACACCAATATTAAATCTGACAGCGGATTCCAAAATAACATTATAAATCTACGAAATAACAGCAAAATCCTGTGATTATCTGAATTATGAGGGAAGTTATTGATTGTTCAGGTGAAATCAGCTCATGTTTTCTTGCTGCAGTTCACAGCAGAACCAGTGGGATCATTTCACCTGGTTCTGATCTATTTTTGATCATAACTTCCTCAGTGTTTAAGATATCACCATAAAATTGTAGGAAGCATCTTGGATCCTAAAAAAACTAATAAAACTTAATAATAACCAATGCAAAAGTAGCAGAAAATGTATAAAATAATATTACAAGACAAACTGCAGCATTGAATCAACTTAATGTGTCTTAGAAAGTAAGGAAATTAAAACAATTTAAAAACCATGTGGACATGTGTTTAGTAAACACAGCTGCTCAACCAATGACAGCGGGTTAAATGTGTCAGGTGATGAAGACGAGCGTCAACACACTTTGCTAACGAGCGCTATTCCAGATTTAAAAAACATACTTCGAAGTTTCAAATCCTTATCAAATATGGAACAAGTGCAGCTAAAATAATGTAGTAGTTTATCTATTTAAGGGTCACTAGAAAAACTCATGATTTACTTTGATCCTATTTTTAAAACAGTGTCTCTTCAAAACTCAACAAAAACTACAAACTGGAAGACGAGGCTGTAGCTAACTACCTGACGTCAGCACGCTTTGTTGAAATTCATAGAAATAATGAAGCAGCAGGAAATAAACACACAGAGCAGCCTGGTACAATCTGGTCACAGCAGTTTGGGAAGAAGCTGCTGACGACAGGTCAACATCCCTACTGTCAGCACATCATTGTTTCTGTTAGTAAAATATGTGTTTTGATGAAACTTTCATGAAATACTCATCTGATGTTTGTCTACGACTCACATGTTGGAGCCAGTTCATAAAGCTTGGTGCTGCTGTCCTGCAGGTTGTGAACATCAGTAGGTTCAAACAGGGTAGATGAAGCATCACTTCCTGTGTGGGCGGGGCCTCAGTTATTACACATGAAAAATGTGAACAGACAAATAATCTCCTTTATGTCTGCTCCCAGATGTGGCCCAGGCAGCGCAGCGCAGAGACAACTTGGGGATGTTGATTTGGATCCCCAGCAGCTGCCTGAACCAGAACCAGGGTAAGAACCGGCCGGTCCGGCTGCTGTCGGGTCAAATGTCAGGTGGAGCCGAGACTGATTGTGTCTTTCATTTCAGTGGACGAATACATCAACATCGCCAAGGAGAAACATGGATACAACATGGAGCAGGTTAGAGTTTATCTACACATCCATCCGTTTATACATCCATCCATCCATCCATCCATTTATACATCCATCCATCCATTTATACATCCATCCATTTATACATCCATACATCCATCCATTTATACATTCATCCATCCATTTATACATCCATTCATCCATCCGTCGACTTATCCATCCATCCATCCGTCGACTTATACATCCATCCATCCATCCATCCACTTATCCATCCATCCATCCACTTATCCATCCATCCACTTATCCATCCATCCATCCGTCGACTTATCCATCCATCCATCCATCCATCCATCCATCCGTCGACTTATACATCCATCCATCCATCCATCCACTTATACATCCATCCATCCATCCACTTATACATCCATCCATCCATCCACTTATACATCCATCCATCCATCCACTTATACATCCATCCATCCATCCACTTATACATCCATCCATCCATCCATCCACTTATACATCCATCAATCATACATCAATACATACCTGACTTCCTGTTTCTCCTTCAGTCTCTGGGGATGCTTTTCTGGCACAAACACAACATAGAGAAATCTCTGGCCGACCTGCCGAACTTCACTCCGTTTCCTGACGAGTGGACGGTGGAGGACAGGGTGTTGTTTGAACAGGCCTTCAGCTTCCACGGGAAGAGCTTCCACCGCATCCAGCAAATGGTAAAAAAAACATTTTATCAACAGTTGGAGCAAAAACTGGTGGAGAGACGTGTCTGTGTTTTAGATTCTGAAGTGATGTTTGACATAAACAAATATCACTATATAAATATAAAAATCATTACACGCACATAAAAACAACATAAATCACCAGTATGAGCACGTATATACAACATGGGTGTTCAGCTAAAGCTACAAAGGCTCTCAGTACTTTTGCCTTCTTAAAAGTAATGAAACCCAACAACAACATGAAGTGTTTCGCTAATGCTAGATGCTAACGGTAGCTCGCAGCCATCGTGTCAGATGTGTTGCCTCCTCTGCCTGCCAATGTTTTACACATAGAGCAACCTTCTTCCTCTGGACTGTTGCCATCCATCTTTTTGTGGTCGGCTAAGTTTTCCCACATGGCTGGTTTGATTCATTTAGACGTGGTGAGCAAAGTTCATGGGGGGGCGACCGGGTCAGGCGTTTAGCTAAAGGGGTGTCATTTCAGTTTTACGGCGCCCCCTTTCATCTGGTGACACCTCATGTCCAGTTCTAAAAAATAAAATAATGTGCGCAACCAACAGTACAGTTGATGCAGAACTGAGTCCGACCCAGAACCTTCCAGTGGGATTTCCTCCCCTTAAGGCAGAGCTGGAGAGGGGTTGTTGGTTTGGAACCAGTGGTCTAATATTTGTTGTTGATTTAAAGTGCCTGTGACATGCCTGTCCTTCAAATACAAAAAAATTAAAGAAAATATCTTTATAATTAGAAAAATTGACAGAAAACTCATGATTTAACCCATTTTGTCACATAATTGGCATATTTTCCTTTGAATTTGGCACAGCTAAAGTGAAACAGGAAGTGACATCAAAGGGGAACTCCCTGGTCTTTGTTTTATTAAAACTATTTTATTTGAACTCTGATTTTTCTTCATCTCTCTCTTATAGGGAATAAAATTATCTAAAAGAAACATCAGAAGATTCCCTGCTGTCTGTGTTGTTAGCCGTTGTAACAACGCTCTGTTTACATGCAGACAATCCCCTTTGACATCACTTCCTGTTTCTTCACATGCAAATATCTCAACAACTGTTCATCTCAGTGATGTGAAATTGTTTTTGCAATATGTTATCTTTCCAAAAGTGCATTCATGTTTATCACAAAAAAAACAGATGTCACAGATAATTTAAGGTTGTGTTCATTGAACATTAGAAGCTGAAAACGGTTAAATTGTTATTTTAATTTCAGGATGTTTTTATTTGTGTGTGTCTGCAGCTGCCTGATAAATCCATGGCCAGTCTGGTGCGCTTCTACTACTCCTGGAAGAAAACCCGGAGTAAAATGAGTCTGATCGACCGACAGACACGGAAACCCAAACAGGAGAAGGGAGACAGGTGAGCGGAGGTCACGGTGGGATTCTGGACGTGAGCTCTATCGTGTGATTGGTTAATGAGACGTGTTGTTTGGGATTCTGCAGCGATGAGGACGGTGAGTCCGCCAACAAAATCCCTCCCAGCGACTCCGAGTTTTACTCAACTAAAGACAAGAAGGAGGTAAACTGCGGCGCAATTTTCTACTTTCCGAGTCTTAGCCCGGTTCTAAGCGACACGTTTGACTCGTTGCAGCCGAGTTCCGAACCCGAGAGGTCTGAGGTGAAACCAGCTTCTAGTTTTAAGGTAAGAAACCTGCAGATTTGAGAGTTTTTAATGTTTTCCATCTGATGAGGAGGAAGTTACAGAAGACAGACCTGATTCGTCGTTTGCACCTGGTTCATCAGAACCGTGAGACCCGTCCGCCGTCTTTCAGATGGGTCGCAGTAACCTGTCTTCTGTCCCGCCCGTCTGTCTCTCTGTGAACCAGCAGACAGGTGGGAAGGTGTCTCAGCGGATGAAGAAACGTCCTCCCAGAGGAATGTTCCTAAGCCAGCAGGACGTGGTTTCTCTGGCGTCCTCGTCGGCTCAGGGACTCATCAGGCAGCTGGACTGTCAGCTGGTGTCCATCAAAAAGCAGGTCCGTGGACCCGAACCGCTCGGTTCTGATGTAAAGGCTGACGACGTGTTGTTTACTCGTGTCTTTGTGTTTTTTCTTTCAGAATCAGACGATCAAACAAACAAACAGCACTCTGAAGGAAGAGCTCAGCTCTGGAGTCGAGGAGTTCAAGCAGCCTGAGGTAACTATGGTTACGCCTCTGGTGACTAGTCGTCCTAGGATATTCGGACATCAGTCTCTGTTAGACCTGGTTCAAGTCTGTCCCTGTCCTCCTGCTTTCAGATGAATCAGAAGTTCAACAATCGTTGGACCACAGAGGAGCAGCTCCTCGCTGTTCAAGGTAACGCCCCATCACATGACACACCCCGTCACGTGACACACCTCGTTACGTGACTCGTTACATGACACGCCTCGTTACGTGACACGCCTCCTTACATGACTCGTTACGTGACACGCCTCGTTACGTGACACGCCTCGTTACGTGACACGCCTCGTTACATGACACGCCTCGTTACATGACATGCCTCGTTACGTGACTTGTTACATGACACGCCTCGTTACGTGACTTGTTACATGACATGCCTCGTTACGTGACACGCCTCGTTACGTGACATGCCTCGTTACATGACTCGTTACATGACACGCCTCGTTACGTGACACGTCTCGTTACGTGACATGCCTCGTTACATGACTCGTTACATGACACGCCTCGTTAGGTTACACGCCTCGTTAGGGGACACGCCTCGTTAGGTGACACGCCGCGTTAGGTGACACGCCTCGTTAGGTGACACGCCTCGTTAGGTGACACGCCTCGTTAGGTTACACGCCTCGTTAGGTGACACGCCTCGTCACGTGACACGCCTCGTCAGGTGACACGCCTCGTCACGTGACACGCCTCGTCACGTGACACGCCTCGTTAGGTGACACGCCAAATTAGGTGACACGCCTCGTCACGTGACACGCCTCGTCACGTGACACGCCTCGTTAGATGACGCCTCGTCACGTGACATGCCTCGTCAGGTGACACGCCTCCTTAGGTGACACGCCTCATTAGGTGACACGCCTCGTCATGTGACATGCCATGTCATGTGACATGCCTCGTCCGATGACACGCCTCGTTAGGTGACACGCCTCGTCAGGTGACACGCCTCATCAGGTGACACGCCTCGTCAGGTGACACGCCTCCTTAGGTGACACGCCTCGTTAGGTGACCTCATCAGATGACACGCCTCCTTAGGTGACACGCCTCGTTAGGTGACCTCATCAGATGACACACCTCGTTAAATGACACGCCTTGTTAAATGACACGCCTCGTCACGTGACAAGCCTCATCAGGTGACACGCCTCGTCAGGTGACACGCCTCGTCAGGTGACACGCCTCGTCAGGTGACACGCCTCATCAGGTGACACGCCTCGTCAGGTGACATGCCTCGTCAGGTGACACGCCTCGTTAGGTGACACCTCGTCAGGTGACACGCCTCATCAGGTGACACGCCTCGTTAGGTGACACGCCTCGTTAGGTGACACGCCTCGTCAGGTGACACGCCTCATCAGGTGACACGCCTCGTCAGGTGACACGCCTCATCAGATGACACACCTCGTTAAATGACACGCCTTGTTAGGTGACACACCTCGTCAGGTGACACGCCTCGTCAGGTGACACACCTCGTCAGGTGACACGCCTCGTCAGGTGACACGCCTCGTCAGGTGACACACCTCATCAGGTGACACGCCTCGTCAGGTGACACACCTCGTCAGGTGTCATGCCTTGTTAGGTGTCATGCCTTGTTAGGTGACACGCCTTCGTCAGGTGACACGCCTTCGTCAGGTGACACGCCTCGTTAGGTGACACGCCTCGTTAGGTGACACCTCGTTAAATGACACGCCTCGTTAGGTGACACGCCTCATCACGTGACACGCCTCGTTAGGTGACACGCCTCGTTAGGTGACACGCCTCGTCAGGTGACACGCCTCGTCAGGTGACACGCCTCGTTAGGTGACACGCCTCGTTAGGTGACACGCCTCATCACGTGACATGCCTCGTCAGATGGCATGCCTCGTCAGATGACATGCCTCGTCAGATGACATGCCTCGTTAGGTGACACGCCTCGTTAGGTGACACGCCTCGTCAGGTGACACGCCTCGTTAGGTGACACGCCTCGTTAGGTGACACGCCTCGTTAGGTGACACGCCTCGTTAGGTGACACGCCTCATCAGGTGACACGCCTCGTCAGGTGACGCCTCATCATGTGAGAAGCCTCATTACCTGGCACGCCGCATCACATGACACGCCTGGTTAGGTTACTCAGCGTTACATTTCGTTTTAGCCACTGTTTAGCTATTTTCAGCAGCTACTTTTCTAATTTCAGCTGCAGTTTTGTTAATTCATACTGTCATTTTGCAAATGTTAGCTACATTTTGGCTTTATTTAGCAACGGTTTTGCTAATTTTAGCTAGAGTTTGATTACACTAGTTTTTCTCCTTTTTTTCTTAAGTCTTCAGCAGTTTTGAACATTTATCCTGCTCTGCTGATTTCAGCTTCTTCAGTTATTTGTGCAGTCTTTCAGCTCTGTAGCATCACTGGATTTTCACAGGAAAACAAACTGTATTAGTTTGTAAACTGTAGCGTTGCAGCTGGTAGAGGTGCAACAAGCTAAAATCTCCTTTCGGTTACATTTTTAATCCAACCTGAGCTCTGCTCTTCTTCTCTGCTCTTTTTCAGGCATCAGGAAGTACGGGCGGGACTTCCAGGCCATCTCAGACGTGATCGGGAACAAGTCGGTGGTCCAGGTGAAGAACTTCCTGGTGAACTACAGGCGGAGGTTCAACCTGGACGAGGTTCTTCAGGAGTGGGAGGCGGAGCAGGAGATGGACGGAGGAGCAGGGGGAGGAAGTGATGGAGGAGAGAAGGAGGAGGAGGCAGAGAAAAACATGGAAGTGTGTTCAGCTGAGGATGAAGGAGCTCCTGAGCAGAAGGTAAGTTTTACAGAATAATTCTTTGATTTATTTATTTAAATGCTTTTATTTGACCTGAGTGAACTTTGGTGTCATCACTGAGGTTTTCTGTCAGCGCCACCTGCTGCTCAGGTG